TATATATATATATATATATAGGTACGATTCATCTTTTTTCATTCGCTGTGCATATATTTCTACATGAACAAAGTAAGTGGGCGGGGCTAATACTTCTTCAGTCACGGTAATTGGTCAACAGTTTAGTTGCTGTCCAGGTGAGCCAATCAGATGAAACATAATGACAGTTGTTTCATCAGTGACAGTATTACAGGAAATATTAAGCAGCTAAGAATTGGAATGACGATATAATTACATAGAAAGCTTACAATTTAAAGATTTGACTAATGGTTTCAAAAAATAATTAGGTATTTTAGGAATGTTTGACACACAAATTTTAATTATACTCGTTTATTATTTATTCAATGCAGATATCGCATAAAAACACATTTAAAAATGTCTTTGCTATTTAACTTATTTATTATTATTATTAAATTGTGACACTTTTATCCAACGACCCAATCATACAGATTGACAGGGAGGAGCTGAAAAGCAGTTAACTGCTCGACGGAAGGAAGCGGAAATAAACGTCGAAAACCTTCTGCTACCAGCTAGCTTCGGGCTCACAGGACAGGGCTGTAAGCGACGTTGTACATACTGTGGGGGTATCTCTTAAGAGGAAGCTGGGAGAGCGTCAGACACAGCAAAGGTTTTTTTTTTTTGCTTTTTACTTGGGCAGCTTCGAAACGGAATACTACAAGTGGTAAGACACTCTTCTGTTTCTCCTGTTTACACAGACAAAACGTGTAGTCCGGTAATTTCTCGACGCTTAGTCAAGTTCGGCAATGTTCTGAGCTAGCTGCGCCTCTACGCTAGCAACAACAGCTTGCGCTATGAAAAAAAGGTGTTTTCTTCCCTTTTCACGTTTGCCAGAATTTCCCCGGTAGGGGCCTAAGTTTGTTAATGTTTCGTTTTCTCGTCGTTTTCCCTTTCACCACATCTTCCATAAAAACGTCGTCGTCAGTTTGCCGCCGGTTGAATTAGATGGGAGTAAGTTTGAGAATCACATCGCAGTTATTGTTGCCCGACCGTTAGCCGGCATGCTAACTCTAACGTTCTAGAACAGTGGGCGCAGTCTATTCCCTGGAACGGAATCGATCTTTTCTTCTTCTTTTTTTTCTCATTTAGAGCCCCAAAAAGTCAAGAGGAAACGGTTCGTACGTGCCCTGTTGTCTAAAACGGGACAGACACTATCCTGCCCGAATTTATCCTCATGGCCTGGGAATCGAATGCTGATGGCGTTTGAAATTTTTGAGGGTATTTTAATGATCCGTTTCTCTGTCGAACCTCGGCTGCCAAACGTTTGTAACGGCACAACTAATTTTGCTGTGTTTGCTCCTTCCTGCTAAAATAGTTTTGCATACCGTTCTCACATCACGACATGGGTTGTTTTTATTTATTCCACGTTAAGAGTTATGGTTTGAACTCTGTTGCTTTTAACTGCTCGGTGACAGTTTGTCTGATATCTGCGTCCACTTTAATGGACTTATTTGCACCAGAGCAGTATTAGTGGAAGCTCATCAAAACGCTACCCGAGGCGCCCCGGGAAGACAACATAATAGGATAACGCACCTTTTATCCCCTAACTCGGGACAACTTTTAGGTTTAGTCACCGTATCGTTCTCGGCTCTGTTTCACAATCAGTTGACTTTTTTTTTTTTTTTTGGTTGTTTGGTGGGTTCTGCTCAGGAAATGGTGTTGGAATTATCTCTGATTGTAGTAAAAATGTCGTACTTTTTTCTTTTTTGACTGTTGACAACGGAAGTGGATGTCTAAAGCAAATCGTAATTAGATGCAGCGATTGGAGGGACTTGTGGAAGAGTTCCCAATCACAAACAAGCTCTGACCTGCTGATTCTGTTTACAGGAGATTCCAATTTTGTCTTCCAAAGCTCACAAATCTCAACATTCTTCTTTTTGGTCGAGCCAGATCTTTTCCTAACTTGGTTGTGCATTAATTTGCCACAAAATATACATTTTACTGTAATTAATATTACATATCATTGCATATCTACACAGAACATGTGTGTTCTCTGCTTTGTGTCTGTAATCAAATATCATACATTAAACCTTGTTTCTGCAACAGATGTCAGTATTTAAATCACATTTTACAGAAAATTAGTGCAGTATTAATCAGATTTATCCTCATTTTTACTTCCTTGCAAGCTGATTTAGTCAACGTTTTTCTTGTTTTCCACACGTGAAAATGCAATATGAGTCAGATCACACGACTGTCTGCAACCGAAACTGTCTGACTTGATGTTTACTAGAAAAAAGAAGCGGTTTTTTTTTTATTATTATTATTTTTGCTGTCGGTTGGATTAACCATTCCTTCATTTCCTGCAATCACGTAGGAATTTAAAGTGGCCTTTATGTCGAGCTTGATTATTAATAATTGATGTCTGGACTACAGCCAGCGTCACCCAGTGTGACAGAGAGAGAGAGAGATCTGAATCTGTTACGTTGCTGCTTTTTCAGAGTTGGCATGATTTGCAAGATTAGACTTTTAGTTTCTGATTTAAAAATACCACTGTTCAAAAGCGAAATTATCCGGTTCTGTTTATCGTCAGATTTCTTCTTTATCTGAGTATTTTTTGCAGTTTTACTTAGAAATGTCTTGTCGATTACGTTTTCGAGGACTGTCGGATATTAGTGACGAAAACGACACTTAAAAACTCAAAAAGCGACGATGTGGGCATGAGGTCCTAATGGAACAACAGTCTTCATTCAAAACATGCAGCATCAATTATTGATAATGTTATCCTTTCAGTTATAACAGCGATTATGGATACAAAGTGTCTTAGAATTTTTGGACACAGACCGAAGCAAAAAATCTGCTAAACTAACTAAATTTACTAATCACTTTCAAGTAAATGTGTCTTTATCTCTGAAAAATTCTCTATAGATTCATTTGTTGTCTCTCTTTCGAGTAAAACTGGGTGTGTAGCAAGCTAATATTAGCCAGTTAAGCTATCAGCCTGTGGTAGTTGCTTAACAGAGATGCTGCTCAGTTTGCTAACTGTAGTCTTTTTAAAACTGCGTAATTTTAAAAGCTGTTATGTTTGCTCCTTTAGTTTCTTTGAGTTTTTTTTTCCTCTTCTTCAGCCAGCTGGCTGACGGTGTGCAGCAACGTGTGGGATGCTTCACACTTCAGTAGGAAACTCTTAACTCCCACCATTTCCGCTGGCATCTCATTTAAAGGAACAGTACATAATATAACGGACACATTCCCACAAAATATCGCTGAACCCGTTTTAATCTGGAGCTTCATTTCCTGGAGTGAAATTTAAATGTAAAATTTTTAACTAATAAGTTACGTCTAGTGAAAGCTTGGGAGATGCGTCTCTTAGCAACCGTAACCACATGTGCACGCACATGGCTGTAGCAAATATGACAAGATGTCACTGTGAAGGATAACAAAGGAGATGACTAACTGAAAATGTTTGATAACCAGCTGCTCTGAAATGTTCAGCCCAATCATAAAGGTCCACTTTTAATTTAATAGTTTCTCAAATTTTGACACTCCTGCCCCCACCCCCTCAGATTTGGCTCCCATTTTTTCACCTCTGATGTTTCCTTATAACCACAGGCCCTCGTGCAGTCACTCCGTAAAACAGAAATCTGAGCTGTAACTGCGCTGTCCTGTGTTTGCAGGTGCTGTCCTGTGACCTTTATGTAAGGTCAAAGCCCTACAGGAACGGGTCATCGACGGGAGGAGAGACTCGGAGAAAAGCTGACGACCACGGAGGCCAGGACAGCGCGTCGGTTGCCAAACAGAAGAGTAACCACAGCCGAGTTGTTTTGCTGCGAGTCACCAAGACCATGGAGGCCATCGCCAAATACGATTTTAAAGCTACTGCCGACGACGAGCTTAGTTTCAAACGCGGAGAGGTCCTCAAGGTAAGCGTCGGCTCGTTAGTTGGCTGATGAACAGACTTATGTATGTTGGGAGAACATAAAATGTTGGAGATGATTCACCTGGTTTTGTTTTGGATTTAAATGGAGGCTTGACAGCAGCGGTATTCTGAGAAAAGCTGCACTGAAAAGAGAGAACATTCTCCCTTGTGCTGCTAATTCTAGCAACTTTCATGCAGGATAAGTTTTTAAAAAATGGCTGGGTTTTCTATTAGATGAAAACGATCATTAAAATAGAAGGTAATTATTGTACAAAGGAAGCCAAATTGAAGTTTAGAGACTAATAACAATTTAAGGAGTTTTTCTGGATCTACTTAACAATTTATGCTTTCTGATGTATTTGTTCACAAAATAAGGTTTAAGATTTCACTTGAATTCAGTTCTGAATCTCCTTTGCCATCTTTAAGGATCCTATTTTCTGTTCTTGGCTGTAAGTTTGATCAATTTTTCTCTCTGGAGAATCAACTGTTATCTGTAGTAAGGACAGAAATAAAAGGACTTCTGTTAAGCTTCCAATTGATTAAATTGGGTTAGCTTAAGAAGAACACATGTGAAAAGCCACTCAGCTCTGTGGGCTTTTAATGGAATCTGTCTGAACAACAAAATGCTTCTACAGGCAGCACTGGATTTACATTGATGCAGGAGGAGTTTGCTCATTGGTTTGGCTTTTACAGAAAATTATACACTTCAAACAATGTTAGATTTAAAATATTTTTTATGTAACACTGGGCGTCGAGGATTACTTTACTGTTCTTACAGGGGGATCAGTGCTGTTTCAGCAGAGAGTATTGGAAAGACTTCTTATCTCAGCAGGAGGCCTAAAAGCACAGAGAAAGTCAGCTTAGGAAACGCTGAGCCAAACAGGACTTCTACCATATTTGCCTAAGTGAAGAGAAAGCATTCTACTCCTCTTAAGTTTAACAGCTTATGTAAAACTGCTTTTTCTTTTGTTTAAATTTTTTTTCTAACTGTCCAAAAAGTTGACAGGGAATATCACCTTTTTTCTTTTTTTCTTTTTTCTTTTTTTGTTGTTGTTTCAGAATTGGACATTATGTATTAATTGGTTTCTGTGGAAATGTGATCAGTGATTACCAAGACTGTTTGGTCTTTTATGTCTTGTTGGAAAATAAATTGAAGTAAAAAAAAAAAATACAGTAAAAGGATATTTAAAGGGTGCACTGATAAATTGGCCTCAATTTTCTTAATTTTGTGTAATCTGATACCGGCTGTTGCTTACACAGGGTGTCTGCGCATCCTTAAAAATCTTGAATTTATCTATCTAAAATTAAGGCCTTAAAATGTCTTAAATGTATTGAGAGAAAAAAGTTGGCCTTAAATATGTTAATCAGAAGTCTTAAAATTTGTTGTCAGAATTATGTAATGTAATTTTATGTAGGTTCCTCTATTTTTGCAGGACTGCTGCGCAAAACAGTCAGACATCTTCACTAGGCGGTTGAGAATACTGCTTAGTAGCTGCTAATTTATTATGCGAGGTTAAAGCTAGCTAGCTTACTTCCATCCATCATATGTAAAGGCAAATTTATCACCAGTTGGTGGACAATGACGTCTTAGCCATTGGACAACTCCTTATGCTAACCCATATAATTGATTTATTTGCAGTTTTGTGCATTCCAGTCTCACATTTTCTTCAGAAAGGTCTTAAATATGAGATGGTGAAATCTGCAGAAACACTGTACAGGAGAAACCTGCCTCATCCTTCAGACTTCATATTGCAAGTGTGCAGTTAACACATCCCAACTTGGCAACCCTATTGCTGTATTTTTTTATTTTTTGTTTTTTTGTAATACAAAAAATCGGTATTGGTCAAAATTGGAACTGGCAGGTCAGGTTTTTGAAAAATCAGTGGTTGGCCAGAAAACTGCAGTCGGTGCACCCCTAGATATATATGTTGACAAAATGTGACAAAAGATGAAAACAATTTGGTTATTTTTGCTTTTTTCTTACTAGTTTGGAAACGCAAGTTTCCAAACACTTATAAAAAATACTTAGACTTTTTTGTTTTTACTTTTTATCTGTAGAAGTCAGCCAGATATTTGCAGAAAAATCCCTAACACTGACACACACTTTTAAAAAACCCATCACATTCAGAGCCATGGAGTTGCAGTATGTAGAGATTTTTTTCTTTCTATTTTTTTGAGCCTTTTTAGTGGGATGAGTGAGGATGTTTTAGAACTCCTTACTGTAGTTTCTATTCAGAAGAAACTTTTTTTTTTTTTTTTTTGAAGGTTGTCTCAGCTCATCTCTTCTGCCTTCAGTTTGGTCACGACTTGAGCTCACATAAAACATAGTCGGCATTAAAAGGGATGCTTGGTTTTTTTTTGTTTTTGTTTTTCTCCTCAAGTTTTTCTGGCTTCCAGTTTAGTAGCTTGATAATATGATAATCATATTAATAAAACGTATAACCATTTCCAACTTTGACTACTCCAAATAAAACTGTAATTTTGATTTGGACAAATCAAATTCCTCATGGAGAACTGACCACAGATGGGAACAGCTCCAAGAAGCTGAGGTTCAGCCTTACACAGCCTTATGGCGTGTAAGGCCGTTTTTTCCTCCGAGACCGTCCACCCTGCGTCCTGTGGGTCCATCACCAGCGCTATCTGCTGATGCTAATACTAAACAGCTCCGCTCCCAATACAAAGAGTGCCTCTCATAAGAGGACGACCCCATGTTAAGGCTTTGCATGTATACAGCATCCCTTAATCTCACTCTATTTTCAGTATCACTCAGAGATAGTGGCTACGTTACTAACATGGGCTCTTATCTTGATGGTGCATAAATCAACCTTTTTCCACCCACGACGTAGAGGCTTGGCAGATATTCACTTTTACCAAAGGCGTGGTGTCATTTGATCTTTACGTAGTTGCTTTTTTTTTTCTCTCTCTCTCTTTGCATTAGATGATCTTATGTAATTTTTGGTTTTTAAAGATTTAATTTATAGAAAATTGTGTTTCCATAGTTCAGAGTGATGTCAGCGAGCCCAGGGCTGCCATCTCTTGTTTTATTGATTTTATTTATTTATGGGTTTTGAATTCAGGTTAACACAATGATGAAATGTAAGTGTCAGGCAATTATTTATTTATTTTTTAATTACCAAAATAGTCATAATGTTACAAAAATAGAGTTGAAATGATACAAGAATAAAATCATAATATTAGCAGGATGAAGTAATTTTTTTGAAAACTCCATCACGAAAAATAAATTAATCATACAGGCTTTTCTCACCAAAACGACTTTTCTTGTAATTTTAAGACGTTCTGTTAAAATTTTGTCTTCATTCTGTTGACACCATAGCTACATTTTTGTAATTAAACAAAAACCCTCATAGTCTAAACAACACCTTCAAGTCTGTCGATTCTGTTTGTATTTGTGTACTGCATGTACTTTTTTTTTATTTTATTTTTTTTAAAGCACTGTTGCCTCACAGCAAGAAAACCTCCAGCTCAGCTCCCTTCAGAGCGCCCAGGTTCTTCCATCCATGCATACATTGTTTGTTTTCCGCATCTCTGCAACCAACCTAAAAGCTGGCTGTTCCTTTTAAAGCGAAAGAAGACACTATTTTCAAGCAGGAAATTAAAAATTGACATGAATTTTATTTTAATCTGTCTGATCTGATACTTTTCTCATCGTCAGTTTTGTCAAACGTTTAGCGTCATTCAGAGATTTATAGGTATTGGTAACGCTACCAGCTACATGTGTTAAAAGTTTATATTCACATCTGTGTTAAGGAAGTCCAGCTTAACCACTTAACAGCAATCGTATTGCATTTCTTTCCCGTTTTACAATCATGACGTGTTGTTGGTGCGTATGCATACTGTATACAAAGCACATTTCCATCGTTATCTGTACACGACAGGCAGATCTGTTGAAAAACCCTTCCTGTTTTTTATTTTATTTTATTTTTATCTCTTCAATCAGTTTTAGTCGATAGGTTGTTAAAACCAGCAGGTTTTCAATCTTGTTTCATTACGACGTTGTGCTAAACAACCTTGAAGACTTGCGTTAAATATTCTTATAGTGCAAAATGTAAAAGTTTAAGGAGTTCTGCCGTTAGTTGAAGCAGAGTAGCTTGGTTTCACAAAATGACATCTCATCATGCGTGGACAAAAAGGGGAAGTTTCTTGCCTTTTGAGATCCTTTTTTTTTTTTTTTGGTCTTTCTGTGTAAGTGTCTGGTCTCGCTTGCAGATGTCTCCACAACTCATTTGCATGTTTGTGTATTTAACCATTTTCTACCTTTCTCTGGGTTTAGGCCAAGTGGTTCAAGTTGCCCGCGTGTACACATTCAGTTGTAAATTACATAATATACCAACCTGCCATTATGAACATCTGAGGTCGACTTGAGCCAGATGTCTTTCCACATTACTGTCAATTTCATCCAAGGAGAACAAACTTAATCAATTTAGCTTTCTTTTTTCTTTTTGTTCATTTGCTGTGTGAGCAAATGGTTTTGGAGTCGCACAGAACAAGCAAAGTGTAGGCCACAGTGACGTCTTGTCGTTGCCTTGAGCGTTGGACACTTGTTCTCATTTCCTCTTTAAATAAATAAAGATTAACAGCCTTTATAGCTGACCGAATTTGCTCCTATTAGCAGATCGCTGAACCATGCCCTGGCAGCATGTCTTACAATCCCTCTTTATCTGTACGGAACCTACTATTAGTTCATATTGTTATATAGGATCTGATGATGAAATGGGACATTAGTTTTTTTTTTTTTCTCATGAAGCAGGGCTGAGGTGCGACTTGCCCGTGGACTGAAGGGTTTGTTCCTTCACTTCCTGTTTGTTCTATTTGGCACTATATCTGAACATAACACTTTTAATTGTGTGTTCATTCAAAAAAAAAAAAAAAAAACAAGGAACAACCCCCCACCCACCAGTGACCTTTTTAGTTTTTTAACCTCCTACCTCCCAAACACACAAATGACCTTGGACTTAACGGTACAGGGATTGCCTGAGGAAGAGA